GTAAAGGAGACAGAAGCTCAGCAGTGAAATACTATAGACTATAGATTCTTTTTTTTCGGTCGTCCTTCATGATCCCCATGGCCACCAGACCCTAAGTCGGTGGCCTGAACAGCGCAGTGGATTCGTTATCCGTGGTCCCAACAAAAACATTTGCTGAATGAAGTGGATTTTGTTTATTTTGTTGTTGGCATTTCTTTGGAACATGTGACCACATTCGTGTCTTTTTCTTAGCCACCTGGAAAGCGCAAAACCGCAGAAAACCTCAAGTTCACCGCTTTGCACGCTTGGAAAGCTCTTCAGGTCCAATTCTGCTGGCCAGGGCCTCAAACCAGGGCGAATCGAATTTTCGATCGATCACCAGCCACAGGCGATTGGATTTGTGGACGATTCTTCCGCGCGACCATGTCAACTCACTGGACAGTAAATCTAAGTTGCAGACTTTTCGGGCAAGATCTTCCTATTCAGGCCAACATCATTTCAACCATCCAGACCAAACCCGCAAAGAAGAAACGCCTGTATACTTTTAGAGTGCATAAACATTGGTGGAACTCACTGAAGGGGTATATAATTCTAGACAAAAACAAGACAGAAGGTGTCCATTCAAATTCGTCGTTTACGTATGTTCACGTGTTGTTCTCCTTGGGAATTACCATCACATGTACATGGATCACAGCCCCCAACCTGACCAAAGCCTTCCTGACCACCTCATGTATGCCACATGCGGCATATTTGGATCAGTGTACAGTGACTCAGACCATTTCTACACAGATTCTGTTTCAGTCGCCTCACCGGCACAGATTCTGTGCTCACGAGGTTCGCCGCAGTGCAAGTGGGACATCCTGGAGTTGATGGAGGCACATGAATCCAACAAGCATCTTGAGTCTCCAATGAGTGTTGGAAGAGATGAAGAGAACCATTTTAAACAAATCCTTTTGAACATGATTTGTTTCAACATGTTTTTGCATATTTTTTCCCATCTCTGACGGAATCTATTTCTTTTGGCTCAACGTCTTCGGTCTCCCCACCATCCGGAGTCGATGTGTGGCCGCGGAACGGCTTTCCGAGGAGTCTCATCATCAGCTCCGGGATGTGCGGCAGGCGCCGTGTCCCGTGAGACTGGGACACGGGGACACGTGTGGTATATAGCTGAATGGTGAACATTTTGATGTCGAATCCGATCCTTAGCACCCCAGAATATTCTGAAAGGATGTTTTGATATGTTTTGTATGAAAGGATGATAGAAGGGTTATGCTACAGAAATTCATGAAGGGTTATGCACCTTCTTCGATCCATTGAGATAAACAGGACGTTTTCATCTTGTGCAGCTACGGAACCTGTGCGTGGCCGCGCAGAACTTGGTTTGTTTCCAGTAAACATTGAGGCAAAATGAAATTATACCAGCGTAGACCCCAAACAGAGCAATGTTCAAAAATGAGATCTCCGAACAATATGGCCAGCAGTATTTCCGAGAGGAAGAAAACTGTAGTCCACCATGTAGACGCACATACAAGATTCAAAGGGAAAGCATTAAAATTATGTTTTTCATTGACTTTACAATGGGACGCCGTACAAGGGCTAAAACATGAAATTTATGGATCCAGGTTGTGACATATGTTGCCCCCCCTTGTAAACACGAATGCGGCAGACCCAATCAAAATGAAGATTTCCTCAGAGCACGGACACTGCGCTTGGCTTTTTCCTTCCTACGCAGTTGCCTTCTTTGGCTTAGCCATGTACTGCATTGACCTGTGTTTGCCATAGGTCGCAACACTTGACGTAAGAGTGTGTGATTGCTTCGTTGATCATCCGCACGAAAGTAGCTGCCAACCTAAACAGCAAATCGAGCAATGCAACGCTTGTGGTGAAAATATGTGAAAATAGTGTATTTCGAGCAAAGCAACTCGAAAGAAGCTTGTGGTGACTCAAAACGAAACGAGGATCTGCGAGGATCTCTGCGAAATAAGGAAAATCCTTCAAGACTTCATCTTCGGGTCGTCCAAGCAAGCTGCCACCAAATCTGGGGCTCTTTGAAAAGCTTCAAATCCAGCCTCATTTAGCTCCAGATTTCAACTCAGAGCTGTCACTCAGAGCATTTCAACTCAGAGCAGGAACACAAGCCCGGAGACAAACTCAAAATCATCCGGCCCGAGCATGCACCCCTTTAAAAGGAGTAAGAACCCCTCACAGGTAAACCTGTTTGGGGAAAAATATGAAAAAGGGCAATAGTAAGACACAAGTCTCCAGTTCAAGAGTCCAGATTTATGAGCTGGACACATCAAATTTGCACATATGACGCGCACTTATGGCAATTCATCCAAACCCAAAAAGCATGCATTTTTGGGAGTCTGAAAGAATGGGCAGATGTATGCGGATGTTTCGATGTTCTGATTATTCTTCTGCTGGAAAGTGCAGAACTCGGATTCTACAGCGAATGCGTTGGAACAGAAAGTCCTGACGGCAAATCAGCTGACGGCAGGGGGATGGAGAAGGCAGAAGAGGTGCACCTTTGAGCACTGGGTGCAGCTTTGGGCTTCAGAAAGGCGATGAAGAAGGTCAGACTGCGCAAGTGAACAAGGTTGGAGAAGGCTTGAGATGGAATATGCTGGAGCCCCTAAGAGTATGGACCGCGCTCCAACTGTGTCGAAGACCAACACCCATCCGAAACGCCGACTTCACTTTGAAACAGGAAGGCACTGAAGGCATCATGCTTTGTGGTGTCGTGCAGCTCAAGCTCTTGGAGGGCTTGATGCAAATCAGCTATGAAGAAACAACGCCAGCTCCAGATTTGAGTGACAGGGATCGCGGATTCCCATCAACGAGTTGTGTGGACCAAGAAGAAGGATTGAAGTAAGCATTGAAACAGTGCAACGTGTTACTGTAACCAGCATACTTCAATGAGTGACCCCAAAAGGATTTGAAGGTTAAACAAAGCTCTATATACCTGTAACGGTCATATTGTGAACGTTTATATATGACACATATTCTTTTCTGCCACATCTTGAAGTACAGATTCTTCTTGCTAGGTCTGTCCATTTCCGTCACCAAACCGCAGTCACCCCTCGATTTGCCTTGGACCAGTTGCGAGTCGTCGAGCTTGTTGCCCGCTTGGCTTCGAACAGAAGACCGGGTGTCAAGGAACTGAATGGCCATATGAATGAGCACATGACAGATGTTTCGCAATGGGCAGATGAAGTGAGAATGGCCAGGGTTGGGTGGTGTTTTTGATAGTCCAATAGGGGGGGTTCTCCCCGTTTCTCCCCAATCACCCCAGTTGGGGTAGACTGGGTCTGTTTTCCGAATCCCTATTTTCACACACACCGCAGATGATAGATAGAACATGATAGAACCATTCTTTTATACACAGGTCACCTTGGATGCAGACTTCGACCTTGCAACCCTTCTTTTTCATTCCATTTGGCTAGCATACGAATGGCCTTCTCAGGGCCCGAATGCTCCGCCACGACCGGTGCCCGGCGCCAGGTCCACAGCGACCCCGATCGGGGCATCTGGCAGGAGCCGATGCGGGGGGTAGGGCGACTGGTTTGGGCAGAATGGATGGATGGTTCATTGAGGACATTTCCAGGAACTATTGCAATTTTTCTTCATATGACCGGGTGATTTTTGCTGCACCATGCTGGACTGTTGATTTTGCAAACAAATGGAACAGCCACCCTTTAGGGAGCTTTTTGATTGGTCGCACTTCAAGAGCTTTGGTTTCCGTAATGTCTCTTGATTAGTCACCCCCCCGAAACATGGATTCCAAATGAGTTTGAAATCAAGAGTCCACAGAAGAAGTTCCAAGATCAAAACGAGTTCACATCAACTATATAACCGCTTCACATCATCCCGGTGTCTCTTTGTATCACAAGATCAACTAAGATCTTGAATCAACATTTTTTTTTCCACACTCTTGCTTGGAAATGTTAATCAACCTTTACAGTAAAGGGACGACTCCATATGCGTCAGACTGAATGATTTGGACCACCCTAACGCTTTAACTTGGGAAATAAATCAACCCATCGCTATTAGGTTGGAGGCCATCGCTTCTAGGGTGGAGGCCGTAGCTATCTTGGTATTTGAGGACCAGTTGAATCAACCTCTTTACTTTGATTCACCTTCGCACCGCCCCAGGAGCTCCAGAGCGCGGTGGGCAATGAACACACCGCCAGCACCCTGCCGGCCGGGGGGGGGGAAAAGACGCTGATGTGGAGGGACATGTGTTATTATTTTGGTTGGTGTTTATGTGTTTTTGTTTAATTATCATGTTGTGTATGATTTATCGTTCAAAGATGCCAAAAGGTCCTACCTTTCGTTAACGTTAAAGTCGTTTGATGGTTTTGAGGGTGTTTGAACATGAAACACCTTGGACTTTGACTGCTAGCAGATCTACGCGCAGATCGACACACCATGAGGGGGGGGGAAAACGCTACATCTGCTTGTGATGTTATGTGACGAACCAAGGCACCCTCCGTTGGCACCACGGTTCGTGTGACAGCATATGACAGCATGGACTCCATCCACAGTCCGATTCTCGAATCAACAGCCAGTGTTTGACTTACTTTTATTGATGTTGTGCGGAAGTTAATGTGTATATATCAGTATATAAGCATTATATAACTGTATGACTAGATGTTTTGGGACGCTCTGTGTTTGAGCTCTCGGCTTTGGTGGTGGCATGTGGATTCTTTGTGCCGGTCAACTGTGCGCGTCAGGGAGGTGGCACCTGGCTGGACCACCCGGCCACTGCGTACATAGGTCACCAGACAGGACACCCAGACAGGAAGTCCTATAGGTATGTAATATAGAAAGAGAAGGGTGTTCTCCATGAAACTCAAGGCATTCAGATACCGTTCAGATCTTTCCCCACCGATCAGAGCTGAGTATCTTTGATCCGAAGTGTCGATGGTTTGTTGGCTGTGCGGTCTTGATCGAATGATATGCCCAAACCATCCCAAACAACAAATTGAACATACTCGAAAATGCCCAAACCGGGAGGCGCCATGAATCAACACATCTCCAGCTGTCCCGGATGGAGAAGTGGCCGACAGGTGAGTTTGCGGAAGCAATGCGAGGAGATCTTGGCACGACGGAAGATCGCCCGGGCATCCCAGTGGGCGGAGATCGCGGCGCGCGTGGAGAACGAGAAGACGCGCGGCGCGCTCTGCGACGCGTGACGGGTTCGACAACGGGTTCGAGGCGGATCGATGGGTTCGTAGGACGGCAATGGCGGGGACGGTTGATGTGTTTCAGTCCAGGCAGCCAGGCAGCCGACCCCACCTGCCAAAGAAAAGGACATGACCAAATGGACACGGGGCTGTTTTTTGAGCATCAGGATGGCTGGCAAGTGCTTCAAGGAATCTATGATCCAACACTAGGTGGCACACAGAATGTCTCTGGATCGATCTGCCTCTAGGAAAGCTGCTCGCAAGCTGTGCTACCACGTCTGGATTTCATGGTCAGCAAAGGTCTCCAGAACGTCGGTACAACACTTGAAGCTGTTTGGGTGTCCTTCTCACTCTCATTATACCGGGGAAGAAAGCACACTTGTCCCCTGGCTCAGTCAGTGAGTTCGTTCTGTTGATCCCCAACAGGCCGAAACCACGGAGACCGAAACAAGGCAAATGAACGAACTAGGGATTCCCACCATCAACAAGAATTGGTAGCTATAACCACATATTCCGTTTTAATATGTTTTAAACGTTTTACCATGACAAACCATTGAACCACCATTTTTGGTCACAAAGTACTCGTACCGTCGTCTAGTAGGACTCACTCACCGGGAGAACTCCAGCTCACCCCAAACGACAGACCACCCGAGTCAGTGCATCGACACACACACGATCTCGATCGAACGCCGAGTGGTTGGGGGACTTTGACACTGAGCTCAATGCCATCCTGGCGAGAGGGAAAGAGGCCAGTGCTTGGGTGAGGGTTGGGACGTTTTTGATGCAAGAGCTTAAGGACAGGCCGAGTGTTATTTTTTGGTGGAGGAGGAGCGTGATTGTATCACACGCCGGTACCCCGGTTTTTTTTCAGGGTTTAGGGTCTTCCTTTGTGGGCGCACTTCAGTAGTTGCGCGTACCCGTGCCGCGCAGGGCGGAAGAACCCTGACGGGGGTGGAGTTTGGACCGATGGTTTTTCCATGGTTTCCAATGGTTCCTGACCTTTCCGGACCGTTCTTTTTTTTGCACCTCCTTGGATTCCGGCATGACCGGGCCTGAGAGAATACAGGAACAGAGGCCGAGCCGGGCGAGAATAAGGGTTTTCCTCACAGAGTGTCGAAGTGATGTTTGACCGTCTCATGAGACACAAAAGACAAAGTTGCGTTCGCCGCTGTTGCAAGCAAATGTTATGCCCACTACAGCTTTGAGCCCATCATGGAGCCGGCTGCCAGATATACCAGATGAACTTTGTTAGATTGCGGATAGATACCTTTTTACTCTTTCGTGTTAAAATAATATCGGATTGTAGTCGTGCTTTAGTCATTGTTCCTTTTTATGCAGGGTCAGATCAAGCTTATTGGTGATCCTGATATCCTGATGAAGTGTTGTGGATCGAAGTTTTGTTTTTTAGCAACCCACAGAGCCATACAGGTGCAATATATCAATATATTATATATCATTCAGATTCGCAGAGTGTCACAACTTTATGGTGCAGACTTCACAACCCCAGAACAAGCTGTTGCTCTCTCATGCTGTGGGCGGGTACTAGCTCCTGACCGTAGTACTACTAAAACCGCACCCTTCGCTACGAACGGAGCCACAGGGCATTTCTACGTCCGCTTCCGTTCTACGAGCCTTGGGCTTTCAAAGAAAGGAGTGGTGGGACTGAAAGGTGGGTTGCAGATGAATCAGAGGTTCTGAAGATTCAGATTCCTTAGGCTTTCAACAGTCCCTTGGGCTTTCAAGACACCGATCCACCGACCCCTCTCCTCTTCGGCTCGGCTCCCCCAAGCCGCCAGGTCCGGGAGCGCTTGCTCTTCGAGGACATGGACCGTGCCAGTTGGTTCAGCGCCGCGGGAGTCAGCAGCCTGGAGGCGTCGGGTCGGGTCGGGTCGGGTGAGGAGGTGAGAGGACCTGAGAAGAGGAGGGTGAGAGGGGAGTGAAGGAGGTTTCGTGGGGTGATACGAAGTGTGTTGAAGGAGAAAAGAACTCTGGGAGAAGGTGTTTGAAGATGGGTCATTTTTCCAAGAGAGTACCTTTTTGCCGGTTCCATGGTGCTTCATCATCCTTCCGGGGCGAGTCTGACGGTCGCGACCGGCGGTTTGCGGTGTTTTCCCGCCAGGTGCAACGGTTATTGGAGCGCCATGCAGAGATGCATCAGGCCCAAGTCGGATGGTCTTTGCCAGGTTTGGGGAGTGTAGACGCCCGCAAAACTCGTATCAGTATGAACCCTGAACAAACGGCCCCGGCTGGAAGATGGTTTTTCCTCTACCAACCAGTGGGTTTTAGATGCTTTTAGGGTCCATGTGGACCTCTTCCAGGGTGTAGACAGTCTTTGCTTCCGATGTCGGTCAGTATGGTGATGGGATGTGTGATGATGTGTGGGTCTGGGTCGATACATGTACACGCCATTATGGAAGAGATATACCCTCCCAGTAGTCTTGTATAACCGGCACCTATGAATGTATGCGACATATATTCATCACCCCTTGCACCAGTAGGGAGCTCTCCGTCCAGGTCCTATCACTCATGACCCTGAAGGAACTCTTTTGCCAGCGGTCCATCCGCTTAGTGGGTGTTGTCTACGGCCACACCAGGGATCAACAGCCGAAGGGCTCCGGTCACATAACCCGCGCAAGGACACATTTGGGCACCCTGGGCAGGAAGCACACCCATCATATGGTTTGCGGATCGGGGGAGGTTGATTTTTCCCCATGGGTATATCATGGTATATCCCCTTGTGGGAAGATGTTTTCTATTTTTTCATATAGTGGGTTTCATTGTGTTTGCCGGCCCCCAAGTTAGGGGCAAATTTGGCATGTCAAGACTCTGGGAATAGTGAAAACCACGTTTGTGGACCCCTCCGAAGATGTCAAGTCTATGGAACCCACTATACTTTCTTTTCCCGGTTCCCCTCAGAGTTCTGCACATCCAAGACACCTTCTTGCCTCAGCGCCCTCTTCTCGGCCTCAGCGCGCTGCACGCCTGGCTCGGCAGCTGAAACTCTTGAGCCCGGAAAGCTCAGGGGGGAGGGGAAAGAGAGGCTTGAGAAGCTGAATTCGAAGGTTCCACTCCCTCTTCCAGGTTCCTTCCAGGTTCCAGGTTGGCACCCGATCGTGGCCAAACTAGAGGGAGGTGGTAAAAACCAGTAGAATTGCACTCCCTGGAACAGGTTATGTGGATGGGCCTCGAGTTTGGAGGACGTTTTTTCCAAAGAGGATCAGGACCAAGAGGATCAGGTGATTTGACATACACTCCCTGGACCATTCATGGGTTACTTGGATGGGCAAGCACTCCTGGGAAGACGATGTTCCGAATAGCAAAGTGGTGCTATCCACTTCCATGATTCGTTCATTCGTTCGTGTCGCGTTCGTGTCGCGACTCAGTGGAGTCGCATGGTGAACCTTGGTTTTGGGGATGTTCTTGGGGGGGGAAGTTGTGAAGGAAGAGCTAGGAGTTCGGGATGACTCGAAGTGGCCCGGCCTGTCGAGAGAAACCGTCTCCTCAAGTGGACACGTTCCACTTTCATGTTACTCTTAGTCTGTTAGTCTGGGTATGATGTCAATATGTCAGACTAACAGCCTAATCGACCTTTTAATAAACACAGTGTATACTTGACTATACTCGGAATTTATACCACTTAAAGGACTAGTTAGGCTACATCGGCTTCTGCCCGGGGATGGAAGACTCCGATCCAATTGTGGCCAAAACCAAGGGGTGCACTGTAGGCATTTTGGTGTATAGAAAGCAACACAACCATACATTTAACATCACTCTTTCATGGATATACTGGGAACTGGGCTGATCTTCACAGAGATTTCATGATTCCTTTGGTCTTTTCGGGCAAAACAAGTTTGGACTCGATAGGTTTCCCTGAAAGTTGTACGGCTACATGGTATGCATATATATATACATTGTTTTGCATGGTTTCGTATCCAGGCCAGATCAGATGCGGATGAACAATGGTTTGTGTTTCCTTGGGTTGATTTGGTGAACCATGAAATATGTAACATTTCAAGTCCGAGGAACTTTCATTCCAACAGTCCGACGATCACCCCGCAAAAAGTCGCACACCTCATCAAAGCCGCACCTATCTCCAACAAAGATGGAAGTGGAACATGACCCTGAAAGGAAGACTGTTTTCTTCTACAAGCGCAATCTGCTCAGCTTCCATGATTGTCTGAGGGAGGGTATGTTGATATGGTTGATTTGCTGTTTTCCATTTCCTGTTTGTCTCAGGGAGGGTACCTCTTGCTCGTTCCTTATGCACGTTCCTTTGCTCAGGCCGAGGCTTGCAACAACAAGGTGCTCTATCTTCCAGGAGCCATATGGTCAGCATGGTCCTACCCAGTCAGTGGATAGCCTTAAACTTTTTTTGGTGGCTTGGTTTCCCCACTTAAAACGAACGAACCTGAGGGAGCTAGTCATCCTGCCATCCAAAAAGGATCACAACAGCTCATTTGGACATATGAACAACAACAAACTTCAAGGGTGCTCTTGCAAGTTGGACATTTGTTCCTCCCAAGGTCGCTTCCATGAGTTCTGTTTGGGTTTGTTTTTTTCACAGAGGCGGGCACCCCTCAAGAGGTGGCTTGAAGGTAAGGACGGGTTCTCTTGCTGGTACCTCCCCATTTTTGAGACTGATTGCAAGGAAGTGGGGTGCTGGACCCATACCGCTACTTCACTTCATTACATTAGGAAGATCAGCCAGCCTTTGATAACCAGGACCAGTCTGTACCTTTATCCTGGCCACTGCCCGTAGAAGAGCAAGCCCCCTTGGACACGATGTATGTTCCTACTTTTTGATCTTGCCAAAATGGACCAAGTGATGGATGGCCTGAAGACGGCTCAAATGATCTACTAATCTCTCAAACTGGATTCAATCCGTCCGAGATGGACCAAGAGAGGTTGAGAGACCAGAACTAGGACCCTGGTCTGTGGTACATATGGGATGGGCGACCAGACGCTGTTCAACCTCTCTTGGGAAGAGAGGGGTCCCGTCTGACGGTTGGAACCGCCACGTCGCCTGGCATCGGGTCCTTCCATCGGGCGAGACGCGCCACAGGAGACGCGCCTTTCAGGCCGTGAGCCCGGGCGGTTGGGATGAGGACTCGGGCGAAAGAGTGACTGTGAGGAGACACTCTTGATCAAAGACCCCATGTTTACATGTTTACATAGGGCTAACGCCCGGGTGCCGCCGACCCCCCTTCTTTTGGGCAAGGATGCGGAATCTAATGTAGTTAGGGGCTAGTGCTTGTTGAACTCGTTCGGGGGTTCAGACACTGCAGTTTTACTGGAAGTGCGATTGCTGGGCAGGTGCGCAGCCAGCGTATTAGGAATGACATGGGTTTAAAACCACAAGTGGCCATGAGAGAATTGAAGCAACCTTGGGCCCTGGGCCAGGAAGTATTACTTTGAGGCGGCGCCGAAGCCGTGCATCAATGGAATGAACGATGCTGCAACGCCCACTGCGGGAGAAGCAACGCGGCCACCAATCTCTTGTCATGCTGAGGCTTCGGAGCGCAGCCAAAACCCATGGAGACGCCCGGAGGTTGGGCGACGACATGTGCAGCTGTCGAAGGCGCGTGCGCCGACGGTGGCAAGAGTCTCGCACATTGCTTCATTGCCGTTTGGAGGCATTGGCTCGCACGCTGCGCCACACGGCGGAAGACTGTGGGACACCACTTTTCCCACCAAGGCCGCGCAAGCCCCAATGGCACTGCGACGTCACGAACGTAATTTCGCCACACGGTCAAACATATTGTAACATATCACATGATACCACCAATCATCCCGCTCACCAGCGACACGCCGCGTTT